AGAGGAATACATTGTATCTAGATGCCTCTAGATTAGCGTTTCTCAGCTGGGGGTGGTTTTGTCATCCCCCCCCCAGGGGCTGTGTGGCCTTGTCTGCTCACCGCAGAAGCACATGACCTTGTGGGTGGAGCCCAGGGGACAGTGTGTGCGTGCTACAGTGCACGGGACAGCCCCTGCCACCAGGAAGTATTGTTAAGGATTGATTTATCTATTTGAAAGTCAGAGCTACACAGAGAAGGAGAGAGAGAGAGAGAGAGAGAGAGAGAGAGAGAGGTGTTCCATCTGCTGGTTCACTCCCCAACTGGCAGCAATGGCCAGAGCTGCTCTGATCCGAAGCCAGGAGCCAGGAGCTTCTTCTGGCTCTCCCACACGGGTGCAAGGGCCAAGCACTTGGGCCATCTTCCACTGCTTTCCCAGGCCATAGCAGAGAGCTGGATCAGAAGTAGAGCAACCGGGACTCGAATCAGTGCCCATACGGGATGCCGGCACTGCAGGCAGTGGCTTTACCTGCTACGCCACAACACCAACCCCGACCAGGAAATACATGAGTGTGTGAGTGAGGGAGTGTTTGCAGGTGTAGGTATGAGAGTATGTATGAAGGTGAGTGTGTGTGCAGGTGTGGGTGAGTGTGAGGGTCTCAGGGCGTGGGTGTGACCAGGAGGTGTGCGCTTGAGGCCCTGGGGGAGTTTGGGTAAATGAAGCAGCAAGGAGCAGGTGGGGACCCGGACATTCAATGGCAGGAAGCCGGGAGAGACGTGGAGGCGATGGAGGGACCCATGCAGCCATGTAGGAGCCCACGGATGCGAGGGCTCCAAGCTGTCCCCCGAGAGCCACCAGTGCCCTTCGGGCAAGAGCCGGGCTGAGGAGGGCTCGGTGCGAGCAGAAGGGGCTCAGGAGACAACAGAAGAGGGGCAGAGCAGTGATGCAGCCACAGTGGCCCCAGCACGGCGAAGGGGCCCAGCGCGGAGAGGCGCCGGAGCTGGAGGGCCGTTTGGACTCGGCGTGCAAGGCCAAGGGGGCCAGACTCCGCTGTCCTGGGGAGGCCACTGCCTCCTGAAAAGTCTCCAGTCCTCCCCTGGCCGGGTCGCACCCTGCTCCAGCCCTGCTCCTGACTCTCTGGGCTCAGCCTTCAGCCTGGATCCGGGGGCTCGGCTGGTTCCCCAGACCCTTGGAGAGCGTTTCTGTGCCTGCACCTGCAGACTGAAGCATCGTGGAAGCACTGACTGCTCCAGTATTACCTTGAAACGATTCACTTACCCGGCACCCACTGCCACGGCCACTGCTCAGATTGGTTCTCTAGAACCATCCCTCTTTGCCCCACGCACAGCCCATGGTCATGAAGAAGCTTCCGGAAGCTCTCCGACACAGGGTGTGCTGCGGGTTGGAGACAGCACCCGGCTCCCGTCTCGCGCCGCCCACTTCTCCCAGGTCTCCCGCACGCTGAGGTCCTCACCCTGTGCTCTCTGGGGTAAGGGCCAAGATCTCCGTGGCACACACCTAAACGCTCATGTACACTCACCCGCATGCACACACACTCACCTGCCCCTGAACTTCTCTTTTCATTCCATTTTCCCATAGCATCTTTTCAAGTACTCTCATATATATCCTTATATATATGTATACACACACACATACTCTCAAGAATTCCGTTTATGCACCTAACACTATAAAAATACAAAAGGAGACTAATAGGACAACAGCTGACTGGTACTTGAGGAATTTAAATGATAATAAAAAGATAAAAGATA